CCCAGGGTCCTGGCCCTGGCAGCCTCTTTGTTATTCCTGGCTCCCAGGACCAGGACTCTCAGGATACCCATGCCAGGGAGGCCTGTATGGCCGGGAGCAGATGTTTCCTTCTGTGCCCTCTGTGGGCTCAGGAAGACCCCACTTTGCAGGTGGCAGGAAGGGGCTGCATTGAGCAAGGGGCCCAGCAGCTGGAGTGGGCCTGGGTCTAACTCTCCACTCCTGTTCGCATTGGCAAAGCAACGCAGCTGACACGGCTGCGGGAGCATCACGCTCAGGGAAGTCGGCGATGGCTGTTTCCCAGCTGCTTTGCAATTTGCTGAGTTCAACATACACGTATTGACTGCCCACTGTGTTTTTTGTGCTCACTTGGAAATTCTGTTGAGTGTCTACTATGTGGTAGGCACTCGTCTGGGTGCTGGGGGTGTGACCTGGGGCAAAAGTGTCAGTTCAGGTCCCCTGGGAAGTAGACAACAGATTGGAGTTAGAAATGCAAGAACTGTGTTAGGAGAAGGAGCTGTAAAGGAGAAAGGGGCGAGGGGCAGAGTAGTCAGGGAGAGCCTGGAATGCACCAAGCACAATGCTTGTGAAGGACAGGGGCCATTGAAGAGCTGGGCGGGGGAGCCTCAGCCGGCCCCAGGGGTCTCTGGAGCAAAGATGGCCAGTAGTGGGGTCCCAGGTTGGGCAGGATGAGTTGAATGTGGCGGAGGATCCCCAAGTAGCTGGAGGCTGTCAGCTGACTGCACTTCTTGCAGAGGCTTCTCTCTTGAAGGCCAACCTGAGAAGAGCACCTCCATGGTGGCCACCAGAGATTAAGTGTAGCTGCCATCCTGTGGAGGGGATGGACAACACACCAAGCAGCAACGGCACCCCCTTCTAGAACAGAGGCCCCAAATGACAGTGCTTCACAGGAGGTGGGAGCTGGCTGCTCATGGTGGCTCATGCCTGTAATCCCAGAGCTATGGGAGGCCGAGGTGGGAGAATCTCTTGAGGCCAGGAGTTCAAGGCCTGCCTGGGCAACATAACGAGACCCTATCTCTACAAAACCCCCCCCCCCAAAAAAAATTCAGCTGGACATGGTGGCATGTGGCTATAGTCCCAGCTACTCAGGAAGCTGAGGTGGAAGGATTCCTAGAGCCCAGGCTAGGCTGCAGTGAGCTATGATGGTGCCACTGCACTGCAACCTAGGTGACAAAGTGAGACCCAGTCTCTAAAAAAAAAAAAAAAAAAAAATTATTAAGCTGGAGGTAAGCCCTTTTCCATTTTTTCTTAACCCTGTTGTTTAGGATGTGGATGTGATGGTGCACTGTCTTGAGCTACACGGACGAGAGAAACACCCTAGGGATGGGAGAGAGGAGGGTGGATCCCTGAATGACTGCATGGAGCAGAGTTGCCACCACAGCCCTGCCCCGCCACCCCTAGACCATGTGCTGGAGAAATGAACCTCTGTCTTGTTAAAGCCACTGTTGTTAGACGTAGCTAAGCCTAGATCCTAAATACAAACATAACATGTTCTTTTTTTTTTTTTTTTCCTGAGGCAGAGTCTCACTCTTCGCTCAGGCTGGAGTGCAATGGCGCATCTCGGCTCACTGCAATCTCCTCCTCCTGGTTTGAAGCAATTCTCCCACCTCAGCCTCCCGAGTAGCTGGGACTACAGACGTGTGCCACCACATCCAGCTAATTTTTTTATTTTTAGTAGAGATGAGGTTTCACCACAGTGGCCAGACTGCTCTCGAACTCCTGACCTCAAGTGATCTGCCCGTCTTGGCCTCCCAAAGTGCTGGGATTACAGGCATGTAATCCTTACCTGGGTCCTTCCCAGTTTGGAGGGATCTCACAGTACATGCTGTAGCCAGTACCACGTTCTACTGTCTCTTCTAAAGCACAGTTCCTAGGCCAGAGCTTCAGCTTGGCGTGCAGTCTTGATAGAAATGCTAATTCCAGGGCCCCCTAGACCTCCTGACTCAGAAACTGGGAGTGGAGCCAACAATCTGGAGAAAGAACCACCACACCTGGCCAAACACAGCATGTTCTTTTTGTCCACATAAAACTTACCGTCTTGACCATTGTGAAGTGTACAGTTCAGTGGCATTAAACACATTCACATTGTTGTGCAACCATTACCACCGTCCATCTCAAGAACTTCTTTGTCTTCCTCAAATTGAAACTCTGTCTCCAATGAACAGTAACTCCTCATTCCCCATTCCCTTAGCTCATATAAGTGGAATCATATAGAGTTTCTCTTTTTGTGGCTGGCTTTTTTCCCAGAATATTACGTCCTCACATTCTTCCGTATTGTAGCACCTGCCAGAATTTCATTCCTTTGTAAGACTGAATAATATTTCATTGTGCACATAGACCACATTTTGTTTAGCGATGGTCATTTCGGTGCCTTCCACCTTTTGGTTGTTGTAAAGAATGCTGCTATAAACATGGGTGAACAAATATATGTTGGAGACCCTGATCTCAATTATTTTTTGCGTATTTTTTGGTATGCACCCAAAAGTGGAATTACTAGATTATATGGCAATTCTGCACAGTGACTTTTCAACTAGTGTTTAACATGGTGTTTTGACAGAATAGTTGTAAGATTACACTGAAAACACAGCCGGGAAAGTGCTGTGAAGGCGGCCCATGAGCTTGCAGGAAAGGCGGTCAGCAGCACACCTCCACTGTAATGGGTTTGTTTACCTGCTTGCCTACCAACAGCTGCAGGCCCCTTTCCTGGCCCTGCCCCACATTGCCCTCCACATTGGACCCGGCTGTGCTGCATCTCTGCCCTTCTGCCCGGCTCCTGCTTTTTACAGGGAAGGGCTGGAGGGCTCTTTGTCCAGGTTTGTCATCCAATATAAGCGCTTAATGCACACGGATGGCTTTACTGGCTCTCAGCCAGTGAACTCAGCATCTGCTTCAGCCCTTTAGCCCTGAGCTAGGCTATCTACCTTCATAGGCCAATCACAGGCTGTCACAGGTAAATGACCACACGTGGTTTGTGCCTCACTTTCTGACTTTGGAACATAATCCCACAGTGGGGGTGGGGGAGGGCCATTTTTCTGGAGCTTCCTCCTATTTTCAAGCTTTATCTTGCAGAACAAAACCTCCTAAGCAGAAGCCTCGACGTCCTCTTTCTGTGGATTGAATGTGTCCCCAAGAGGCACGTATTCAACACTTAGCCCCCAGTGCAATGGTATTGGGAGCGGGGCCTGATAGGAGGTGTTTAGGTTCTGAGGTGCCCACCGTCACGCATGGATTAATGCTGATTATAAAAGGCCTCGAGACTGTGAGTTTGGTCTCTCACCCTCCTGATTCCCACCATGGGATGAGGCAGCCAGAAGGCCCTCACCAAATGCTGGGCTCGGGCTGGCACCATGCCCTTGGGCTTCCCAGCCTCCAGAACTATGAGCCACATAAATGTCTGATTATTATAAATGACCCAGTCTCAGGTATTCTGTTATAGCAGCACAAAATGGACTCAGACATCTGTCTGCCAGCCCTGCCCTCCTGAGGCCTGGAATGCTGTTTGCTGCACTTCCCAGCCTCTCTGCTTTGCCTCACACTGACTTCCTTCCCTGGAACCAGCAGTTCCTGCTTGTCTGGGCATTTTCAGATCTTACTGATCTTTCAAGGGCACCTCCTCTGTGAACTTACCTGGGTCCTTCCCAGCTTGGAGGGATCTCACAGTACATGCTGTAGCCAGCACCACGTTCTACTGTCTCTTCTAAAGCACAGTTCCTGGGCCAGAGCTTCAGCATGGCCTGCAAGCTTGTTAGAAATGCTAATTCCAGGGCCCCCCTAGACCTCCTGACTCAGAAACTGGGGGTGGAGCCAACAATCTGTGTCTTATTGGTATAGATACTTCTAGGTCTACCAGGCTGCCAGGAGGCCTTAATGGCCCAACAATCATGAGGCACGAAGGCAATGCCCACGAGTCAGCAGCAAGGGATCCCAGCTGGTCTCCCCATGGGTTCTTCTTCCCTCCTCTTCTTAAAATGGAGGCAAAATTTACAGCAAAGCACACAAACGTTGGTGTGCAACTCAATGCCTTTTAACAAATGTGTCCACCCCGTCATCACACCCCAGATGAAGACATGGAACATTTCCAGGACCCCAGAAAGCTCCCTGGTGCCTCCTTCCCATCAATAACCCCATCCTCCACCAGCCCCACCAGGAAACCACCACCCTGACTTCTGTCTCCATAGATGACTTTTGCTTGTTTTTGAATTCCATACTGTGCATGCTCTTTTGCGTCTGGATTCTTTCGTCCAACTTTATCTGCGAGATTGATCTAAGTTGTTGCATGGCAGAGTCATTTGGTCTTTTCCTTTGCTATGCAATGCAGGAGAACATTTGTTTGTTTTTAGTTTATAGAATGCAGTAAGTTTACTTTTGACGGACAACAGCACTTGTTTCTCTTGGGTGTCTGACCCTTTCCCATGATTTCCAACCCTAGCTTCTAAGCTCTGTGAGGGCAGAGTTTGCCTCTGTCCCACCTGGCCTGGCATGCAGGCTGCTCCTATCAGTATTTACTTAGTCCAAATTGCAACCGGGGCAGGTCCCTGCCAGCTGAGGGAGCTATTCTTCCAGCTCAGCCAGGGGTTGGCCAGTCTTGTACCCTGGGACAAAACCCAGCCAGGGCTGTGGGCACTGTGGTTCAGAAGGCCTGAGACACGTGGTTTTACCAGGGCTGGGTACCAAGAACCATGCTTGAGGCTGATGGCATTTCACTGGCAGTGTCTCTGGGGGCCTGGGGGACTCAACTGTGGGAAGCCTATTCTGCACACAGCCATGGCGCAAGAAATGCTTTTTCCTGTGACGGTTCAGTGAGAATCATGATGGCAGTGGTGCAGCATCCTCCCGGCTTGGTTTTTAAACACGGGAAGGGCTTCTAAAAAGTCACACAGCTGGTTAATGTTTGAACCAGGGTGGAAGAGGTTTGTTTGAAGCAGTGAGTGGAGCTGTCTGAATGCCAGGACGAGGGTCACCCTGGAGGCGGGTGACACAGGGGGCAGTGCAGGTCAGAGGCAGAGGCTGGGCCCAGATGCCATGCGAGCTCCAGGCCACTTTCCCAGAGAAGTGAGAAGTGGCCAGGCTGCCAGAGACGGTGTGGCCTCTTCAGGCCCTCACTGGTCCTGATTTTGAGGGGTGACTCATGCCGTCTTGGACATCCACTTCTGGCTCAAGTTGCTCTGGGTTCCTCCACACAGACCAGAGGGATTCCTGCGTCACAGGAATCCAGGAAGGGGTGGGGGGAGTTGCAGGTTGAGAAGACAGAGGTGAGTGGCCCCAGGGCCCCTCCCCTGTTGAGTCACCGGAAGGGAATGGAAATAGTGTGGGCTGAAGCTGAGTCAGGGCCTAGCCTCACCTTCTCGGGACCTCATCTGAGCTCTGAGGTGAGAGGCCCATCTGTCCTCCCCTCCTTGCTGCCTCCTCTCCCGAGCATGAGGAGGGCGAGCAGGAAGGATTGAGGTTAGTTCTCAAGAAGGACTTCCTGACCCGCGCTGGGCGACGCTAAGAGGCATCTCACAAAGGAAGTTGTGAAATCTTCCTTGGGACCAATTTGAGGTTTGGTCTGGGTCCAACCAGGACTACCTTTATGGCTCTAGACTGTTTTCAAGAGTTAAACATTCCTTCCTTGACGTGGCTCAGGGAACACCCGATGTGTGCCAGGCCTGGTGGCAGGAGCAGGGCCAGCTGAGTGTGGGACATGCCCCACTCTGGAGGTCTTCTCTAGGTCAGCATTACAGCAGCCTTGGAGGAGACCGCCCCCACCCCTTCCCTCCTCCCGTCCTCCTGGCTCCCTTGGGCAGTCTGCTCTGCCAGCCACACCACACTCCGTTTTCGCTTTCGGATTCCGGAAGGAAACTATGGGCAATAAATAAGACAAAGGGTCAATTTCCTTCCTGTGCAAATCCCAGTAGCATTTGCAGTGCGCCAGGCTTGGGAGGGCGCCCTCCTAAGTGCTTTACCTGCCTTCACTCCGCCACAGCCCTGTGAGGAAGGTGCTCCCCTTTCACAGAGAAGGAAACTGAGGTTCAGTGAGGTGAGCAGCCTGGCTACAGTGGCACTGACAGCGAGCAGCAGACCCAGCCTGTGACCCGGGCAGTGGCATGGCAAACAGCCAGCAAGCACTGGGTGCTTTTCCTGCGCTGGGCCAGCACTTTGCAGGCATCAACTCAATTGAATCCTCACAACCACCACACATTGGTAAGAAAACCACCCTGACAGTCCCGGGAAAATGCGCAGTCTTTGTGCACTGAAGGAAACAAAAATGGACACATCAGTCATCAAAGAAAACAGAGAGATCCATCTGGAGTGCCTTGAATTGGCAAATGGTTTAATTTTGCTGTATAGGGACACTGGCCTTGCTGGGGCACCGTGGAGCGGGGCCCGTGCTGGTGGGTTGTTCACTGGGACCACCTTTCTGGAATGCTGGAAGGCACCGTGGCAGGACCCACGGAATGCCTTCAAAAGCCGGTGGTCCATGTCCCTGTCTCCTTCCTTAGACTCTTTCAGAAGAGACTGGTCAGAGGTTCAGCACAGATGAACCTACAAAGCATCACTTACAATGGTGAAAAGGCAGAAGAATCACTGAATTCCACCAAGGCAGAGCAACCGAGGAAATCACAGGTAGAACACTAGGGAGCCACAAGAAACGACATGTTTGAGGGGATATTTATAGCACAGGAAAATGTTCATGATCTAATGCTACACAAAAAGGGCAGGATACAAAACAAGGCGTATTTGAAGAAAGAAGGTGGCATGGTTGTCCATCCACTGCTTTCAGGGACTGGACTAAGTGACCCGGATCAGAGTGGGGCGAGAGATCTGCTTCCTGCCTGAGCCCTGTGAACAGCTCAAATCACTCGTGTGTCTGCAGGAATCATTCTTACGTTTGCTGTTCTGAGATAACTTCAAACCTACACAAAATTTGCAAGAATAAAAAATACCCTGCCACATACTCTTCACCTACATTCACCCATTATTAACATTTTATCGCATTTATTTTCTCTCTCATTCTTTTTTTTTTTTTTTTGACAGAGTCTCACTCTGTTGCCCAGGCTGGAGTGCAGTGGCGTGATCTCGGCTCACTGCAAGCTCCACTTCCCGGGTTCACGCCACTCTCTTGTCTCGGCCTCCCAAGTAACTGGGATTACAGGCATCCACCACCATGCCTGGCTAATTTTTCTGTATTTTTAGTAGAGGTGGGGTTTTACCATATTAGCCAGGATGGTCTCAATCTCCTGACCTTGTGATCCGCCCGCCTCAGCCTCCCAAAGTGCTGGGATTACAGGCATGAGCCACTGCGCCCAGCTGCTAAACTCTTCATTTTCAATTACTCCAATTGCTTGAAACTCAAATAGCCACATGAGGCTAGTGGCCACCATTTGGACAGAGTGACTCCAGCCTTCCATGTGGCGTAATTTTATTTGCTAGCCTTTAGCAAATCATCATGTGATGTGATCTTTAGAAGATCATCATGTGATGTGATCTTCTTCACTTGTTTCCTGTCTCTGTGACCAAAGCATCAGCTCCTTGAGGTGGGGATTGGTTTGTCTTGTCCACTGCTGTATGCTGGGCTAGAAGTGGGCCTGGCATATAATAGATGCTCAATATGTAATCGCCGAATGAATGCATGAGTAAATGAACGACTCCTGGGGACCACAAACTCTGAATTTCTCCAAAAGGAATGCTAGTTCTGCCAGGGATTGCTGCTCTGTGACCTCAAGTCAAGATCTTGCCCTCTCTGGGCTCAGCATCCTGACCAAGGGGCGCCGGGGCCCCTGTGGTCCTAAGGCTCTGAAACTTCCTGCTGCTTACTCTGCCCTGTTGGGAGAAAAGCTGAGTGTTGGGAGAGAAGCTGAGGTAGGGTTTCCATGTCTGCTAGACTTGCTGGCTCCTTGCTTCTAGCACTTGCATTATCTCGAGTAGCCATATGTTTCAAAGAAAATGCTACAACATCACAGCTGTAGCTCATTCACTGGATACATTGCTTCCTTTAAACCCCCACATCCTTACCACCTGTTTCTTTGTTTGAGCACCAATAAATGGCGTGGGCTCCCAGAGCTTGGGGCCTTCGCAGCCTCCATATTAGCGTTGGCCCCCAGGTCCCACTTTCTGTCTTGTCATTTCTCATTCCTTTGACTCCGCTGGACTTTGTAGCCTCCACAGCCTGGCGTTGAGTCTGATCACCCCAACATGCCCAAACTGCCCCAATTTATCCTTCATCCCCAATGCCCACCACCAGCCTCCCCAGGCACCTCATAGGAAGGGGGCCAGACGGGCTTCCTGTCCCTGGAGACTGTGTCTAGGAAGCCATCATAGCAGGCTGCCTGTGCCCGTCTCCTAACAACAAATGGCCTTAGGAAGTATTTGGGGGTGGGATAAAGTGGTGATTGCTGTGGGGCTGTGTCCCAAATCAACAGCTCTCCAGCTGGCCAAGGGCAAGTGTTTCCCAGGAGCCAGGCCAGGGCAGGCTGGCGGTTGTGGCATGTGCACCAGGAGTCGGCTCCAGGGTCCTCCAAGCCTGGGCCCTGAAGTCGGCCACACTCACCCTCTCGTGCCTGTGCTTGGGGTTCAGAGGTGGCAGGGAGTGCTTGGGCCCTACATGCTTCTTCGGGGGACCTGTAGGAACCAGGAATGAGGAAGTGAGGAGCAGGTGCTGACTGTGAGTGACTTGAACCCTGACTGCTCCAGCATCCAACACTCACACGCATGCACATGTGCCTACTTAGACAGACACAACACACAGCTATGCAAGCTGACATGCACGTGCTCGAAGGCATGGGCACAGACACACACTTACTTGTTTTTGTTTTCATTATTTTGAGACGAAGTCTTGTTCTGTCGCCAGGCTGGAGTGCAGTGGCATGATCTCAGCTCACTGCAACCTCTGCCTCCTGGGTTCAAGCAATTCTCCTGCCTGAGCCTCCTGAGTAGGTAGGACTACAGGCATGAGCCACCACACCCAGCTAATTTTTGTTTTTTTACGAGAGACAGAGTTTCACCACGTTGGCCAGGATGGTCTCGATCTCTTGACCTTGTGATCCACCTGCCTTGGCCTCCCAAAGTGCTGGGATTACAGGAGTGAGTCACTGTGCTGAGCCATTTTATGTAATTTTTATGTTTAGAGAGGAATCTTGCTGTCTTCCCCATGTTGGATTGCAGTGGTGGTATCCTAGCTTACTGCAGCCTCAACCTCCTGATCCCAAGCAAGACTCCCTCCACAGCCCTGCCAGTGGCTGAGATACAGGCTCACACCATGAGGCCCGGCATTTAAGCAATTTTTTTGTACAGATGGGATCTTGTTTTGTTGCCCGGGCTGATCTCAAACTGCTGGCTCAAGTGATCCTCCTACCTCAGCCTCCCAAACTCCTGGCATTACAGGCATAAGCCGCTATGCTCAGCCCTGTTTATTCATTAGATTTGAGTTGCAAATCTTCAAAGTTCATCCATGTTTGTAGGATGTATAAGTATTCCATTTGTTTTAACAACTGAATAGCATCCCCATGTGCACATATAATACATGTTGCTCATTTATTCATCTGTTGATGAACAATTGGGCTGTTTCTACCTTTTGGCTATTGTGAATATGCTGCTCTTGATGTTGGGACACAAGTATCTTTTTTTTTTAATTGTGTTTTATTTTTTGATAAGTTATTAGGGCACAGGTGGTATTTGGTTACATGAGTAAGTTCTTTAGTGGTGATTTCTGAGATTTTTGGTGCACCCATCACCCGAGCAGTATACACTGCACCATACTTGTCTTTTATCCCTCGCCCCCCTCCCACTCTTCCCTTGAAGTCCCCAGTGTCCATTGTATCATTCTTATGCCTCTGCATCCTCATAGCTTAGCTCCCACATATCAGTGAGAACATAGGATGTTTGGTTTTCCATTCCTGAGTTCAAGTACCTGTTTGCAACCCTGCTGTCAGGAGTTTTGGACATCTACTTAGGAGTGGAATTACTGGGTCATATGGTAGTTTCATGTTGACTTTTTGAGGAACTGCCAAACTTTTCCACATTATACATTATACATTCCATGGGTCACTGCATTATACATTCCCATGAGCAATACGTGAGGGTTCCCGTTCCTTCACATCTCCAACATTGGCTATTTTCCATTTGTTTGATAATAGCATCCTAACGAGTGCAAAATGATATCTCATTGTGGTTTTGATTTGCATTTCCCTAATGACTAATGATGTTGAACATCTTCTCATGTGTAGATGCTGGAAGTGGGGACACTGTGACAGGACAGCAGCCTTGGCATTGCCTTAGCAGCAGCCTAGGATGGGTGCCAGGGAGCACGAATGAGGGTGAGGAGGGAGAGGAAGGGGGAGAGAGAAAGAGAGAAGAGAGATGGGGAGAGAGAAGAGAGAGGTGGAAAGCGAAAGATGGGTAGAGAGAGATGGGGGAGAAACAGAGGAGGCTGGGAGGGAGAGGAGGATGGAGAGAGCAGAGAGAGAGAAAGAGAGATGGGGAAAGGGGCAAGAGATTACAAGAGAGACAGAGAAGCCAGAGAGGCAGAGAGGGAGAAAGGGAGAGAGGAAGAGAGGGAGAAAGGGAGAGAGGGAGAGAGGGAAGAGAGAGAGCAGGTCAGGTCACTCTGGGTCCCAGTTTCCAGTGCACTTGTAGGTCGTCATCACCTAACCACATGGGCAATAAAGTCCTTGTGCCAGCTGCTCACAGCCCCCGAGAGCCCCTCCTCCTGGAGAATAAAACCTTTGGTGACTGCCCTTCCTCACTGGATTTTGGTTGTGTCTAATAAACCGAGTCGTCCCATCTATGACCTTCCTGGGCTCACAGCTCCACTGAACGCTGCTCCCTCGGTTTGGGAGGACCAGTGGTGCCCGTGTCTCACCAGGCTCCCGAGGAAGATTGTGACCTTGGCTTGGGCCCAAAGTAGCTGGGTACCCGCTGGGGCTCTGCTTCTCCTTTCACTAAGAGGAGAAAGAGACCAAAGAATGGTCAGCAGAGAGGATACCTGTGCAAACACCCAGGGAACGAGGGGCTTGAGCCGTCTTCATTTCCTTACAGACACACATTCCCTTCCATGCCTCCTTAATGAGGGCATGAAGCACAGTGTACCTGTGTCCAGCTGTGTGCAAAGGTATGTGTGTGTGCATGTGTGTGTGTTGTAGGGGCGTGCAGTAGGCAGCAAGGAGAGGGCAGCTCCTGCTTAAGGCTGCAAGTCTCTCTGAAAGAAAGATCGAGATTCCCTGGACCACAGCAGGACAGTGTTTTCATTTGCATCCATTTTTATTAGCATTTAAACTTGTATTTTGAGTAGCATATAAACCATAAGTTGATTAACTATTCTTATAAGCATTTACACAGTAAGATAAACACATGATAATGTACACTGAAATTATGCACCCTGCACCCCGCCCTCCGCCAAAATTATCTTGCAAACCTACGCCCAGCAAAGGATCCCGTAGCACACTTTGGGAGGTGTAGACAGGAAGCCTGGGTCTCCATTGCTCTTTCCATCTTTTCACCATCTGTGGGCTACCAGGCTGCGTTGGTTTGCTAGGGCTCCCTTAAAGTACCACAGACTGGGCAGCTTCAGCAACAGAATCTCGCTGTCTCACAGTCCTGCAGGCTGTAGGTCCAAGAGCAAGATCAAGGTGTCGGCAGGGAAGGCCCCTTTCCAGGGCGGTCCAGGAAGGCTCTGTTCCAGGCCTCTCTCCTGGCGTGTAGGTGGCCTGCTCTGTGTCTCTTCACCTCATCTTCCCTCTATGTGTGACTCTGTGTCCAAATTTGCCCTTTTATAAGGACATCAGTCATATTGAATTGGGCATCCCCTACTGACCTCATTTTTCATTTAACTTATTTCCATAAGACACTATCTCCAAATAAGATCACATTCTCAGGTACTGGGGCTAAGGACATCAACATAGGAATTTCAGGGGACAAGTTCAACCTATCACACAGGCCCTCCCCGAGGCCACCTCTGCGTCATCTTTGTCTACAGGCAAGTTGGCATCTAAAAAGTGTCTGCCTAAGACATGCGTCTGGCCCATGGTACAGCTAGTCCACACAGCCAATGGTGAGACCCGGGTGGCATTGCTTCCTCACCGCCATGCCTCACGCAGGCAGCTGCCTTCTTATAACAGGGTGGACACAAATCCCAGCACTGGTGCAATCACTTGCTGGCTGTGGGTGAAGTAGCCCCATGTCAGTGTGCTGCAAAGATGCGGCTTAGAATGTTACGGCTTGTGTGAAAGATGCGCAGATTTCTATTCCTTCCGATCTGTGGTTTCAAGTTCTGCTTGTCTGAACCCAAGGGGCTCTGTAGGGTGCCTCTGGAACAGCCGGGGTGTTAGGGGTGCTGAAAACACAAGGTACCCAGGCTCAACCCCAGCTTCAATCACACAAATAATCTTGTTGACATGTTTTTTTGGTCAGTTTTTTTAATTGATCTTTTTTTTTTAAGAGAGGGATCCTTTGGCAGAAAGAATTTTTTTTAAGAGAGGGATCCTTTGGCAGAAAGAAAATCTGAAACTCTAAATACCTAAATACTGTCCATTTTATCCATGTATTGTTGGTCCTATCCCCAAAATATATCCTGATTCCATCCATTTGTCATGACCGCTTTAATCTGAGCCCCCATCATTTTTCGCCTGGATTACTGTACCAGCCTCCCCAGTGGCCTCCCCGCTGCCACCTGGCCCTCCCCCCCAGGGCTCAGCAAGATTTTTCTGCAAAGGACTTGGCAGTAAACATCTTGGGCTTCGTGGACCCTGTGGTCTTTGTTGCACATACTCAGCAATTACTCATCTCTGCCACTGCAGCCCCAAAGCAGCCACAGACAAGAAGTGAACACAGGGGAGGAACTGTGGCTCCAATAAACCTTTATTCACCACGACAGGAGGGGGACTGCAGCTGGATTGTGGGCCATAGTTTGCCAACCCCTGCCTGACTTCATGGCAACACTGACCTTCATATTTACGCCTCTTAAAAACATGTGTAAGCCGAGTGCAGTGGCTCATGCCTGTAATCCCAACACTTCCAGCTGAGACTGGAGGATTGCTTGGGGCCAGGAGGTCCAGACCAGCCTGGGTAACACAGTAAGATCCCGTCTCTACAAGAAACCATTTCAAAAGCAGCCAGGCATGGGGGCCCACACATGCAGTGCCAGCTACTCAGGAGGCTGAGGTGGGAGGATTGCTTGAGCCTAGGAAGTCAAGGCTGTAGTGAGCTGTGTTTGGGCTACTGCACTTCAGACTGAGTGATGGAGCAAGACTCTCTGTGTGTGTGTGTGTAAAGGTTGTGTACAAGACACACCTTTAATTAATCACAGCCAACCCTCAAATAATCCGCATAGTGTAGGACCCTTACAACGCTACACTCCCAACTCTTCTCCCCACCCAACTTTTGCTTTCTTTCTTTCCATGGATTCTGTGACCATCTTCCTCTCCTCATTGACTCTGCGTGAAGGGGATTCCTGGTGGGGGAAGGGTAGCCGGTGAGAAATGAAGTACCAAGAAACTAGCAAAGGGTCTTCTGGCTGTCTGGGGACAGTCCTCGTGTCATCCCTGGCCTAGTCTCAAGGGTTCTGGGCTGGTCACCCTGCGGTCTCTGTGCTGTGTCTCTGGATCTGGCCTCCATGGGAAGGACCCTGGGAGACCCAGCAGAGTGGGGTGCCTGGGTTGACAAACATCCTCCTGTTCCTCTGGCTGTGTGGCTCAGGGATAGGCCCAGACGGTGTGTCCAGGTGTGCCAGGTCACATCACCGCCCCCTTTGAGATGGTCCAGAGGACCTTGTGGTGCAAGCATGAAGCTCGACACCCAGAACCTGGGACCAACTGCCCCTCCCTGTGTCCTGGAGTTGGGGTCCAGTCCTGAGAAGACTCTCAGTCACCTGTGGGTGCTGATGAGGGGAAGGAGGAATTTGTGGACTCAGAGGGGCCATTGCTAGGGGACTCTGAGCACCATCGCTCAGGGGTCTGGTCAGTGGGGGTCTGGTCAGCAGGGATTGAACTCTGGGGCTCAGACATAGAAAAGCTGGTCAGTAACCCTTTCTTCTTTTTCAGTTCTTGCCGCACGTGCAGAGAGAGAGGAACTTCCAGTGCCCGCTATGGAGCCAGAGTCCACAGCATGGGGAAGGCCCCATTCAGAGGCAGCAGTGCAGCTAGAGGTAGCTCCAGAGCCCTCCAGGCCCTGCACCGGTACAGCCAAGGACCAGCCAAGCAAGGAGCTGCCAGACCTCATGCCACCTGCTATAGCCACTGGCTTCAACCCTGGAGCTGAGAGCGTAGCTGGAGATAGACGTGGCAGAGAGGAGATTGCGAGCAAGGCTCCAGCCAGCAGCTCCCAAGCTGCCCCTAGTCCCGGGCATGGTGTGAGCCTTGGTGTCGGAGGCCAGGGTGTTAAGCCTGGGTTCCTCTACCTCACTAAAGAGAGGCCTTTTTTATTTACTAGAGCCACAGCCCTGCTGCATCGGGACCTTTTCACTCTGCTGGTGCTGGGGCTGTCTATCTGCAAGCTGGAGGTGCTTGAGAGCAGGAAAAGGAGCCTGTGAGGAAGGGTTCCAGCAGCTCCTCCTGCTCCCAGAGGTGGACTCCTCCTTCAGGCATGGAGGTCTCTCTGCTACTGGGCTTCTGGGCTATTTGCCCCTGATTTGCTCCCTGGGACGGGCTCTTCTTAACAGGCAGGCAAGGGGCGTGGGGACCACGTGGGGGCTTCAAAGGGTACAGCATCAAATCTTCCAAACTCAGCACTTGTGCCCCGGGGTCTCTAATCTGTCTTCTGCCCTAGGATTTATTAATAGTTAAATCTAGTTAAATTACCAGTTTATACAAATGACGTTTAAATAAAATTTGATTTCTGAAACTTCATGCCTTTTTGAACTCCCTAATGTTAGATGGTGTTTTTGAGGCGATCCTGAAAATCTCTGATAGTTGTGTCTTTTGTTGTGGTTGTTTGTGTGACTGAGTTACCACCAAATCAACTGTTATTGGAAACCTTTCAGGTATGGCTTTTAAAAGACCTTGACCTACTCTTGCCTGTTTTGACCCTCCAGTTTATTGTGGAAAGAAGGATCATGTAGTTTTATGTCTCCGGCAGAATGTCTCCGGCAGATCAATCACTTTCCTCCATCCATAGCAGGGAGGAGTCATGGCACCCCAGAGGGTTACTGGGAGGAGGAGGTGAGGTGGTGTATGGAATCCAGCCCTGCCACACAGACCTAGCACATTACACCCTAGCTGAGTCCCCTGCTAAGGAAGGGGCACGCCCTCTGCCCTCAACTGTCAGCCACCCATCCCCCATCTGCATCCCCAGGACTGCCCCAGATTGGGAGGTGTGCGATTGGGGAGGACACATAGATGTTCTGATGCTAGCTACGGGTCCTAGGGTGGGGGCGGTGACAGTGACAAGGATCTGGGTGCATACATGAGTTGGGCAGCCAGGCCTGGCCAGAGCAGTGACACATGCATCCACACATTAGTGCACTCACATACATGTGCACGCTCACCTGCACAAACACGCTGCACACATGCATGTTGAAACTTCAGGGATGGGAGGATGCTGACTCCAGGCCCTGCTTGGGTCTGTAATGGGTGCCATGACTCCGCAATGTCACTGGTGCTGCATACCCTCCCGCCTACCTGCCTGCCCTCTCTGTATCTGGAGCTCTTGGAGACAAGACACACAGCGGTGTCTGGTTCTGCATAGAGGAGGTTTTCCTAAGTGAGAGGCACAGCTGGATCAGCAGACTCAGGTGAGTGTGACCTGCTGTGTTCCCTCCCTGCCGACGTGGGACAGTCGCTACCTGGTGGGCAGTGCTGTCCTCTGGGCAGGTGCTGAGGAGGGCCATCCCTGAGCACTCACCAGGTGCCCATTCTGCACTGACTGTGTAGACGGTTGTTTCCTGCATCCTCACAGCAACTCTGTGGGGTGGGTGCTGTCCCCAAATGCACCCATTTGACAAGTGAGCTGTCTAGGGTCAGAGGAGCCGATACTGGCCCAGGGACCCAGATGTGAGCCTGGGATGTGCTCTCAGCCCTGCCCTGTGCAGTGCTGGACTCAAGCCCTGACCTCTGCGGCCTCCCTGCCCTGGATTCCAAATCTCCCTGGGGTTCCAGACTTCAGTGGGGCAGAGCCTGGCCCTGGAAGAGTCACTAAAATGGAGGCCCTATGGGTGGTGGGGAGGCGGGGGTTCTCAGTCCAATTCTGTGCCTTAAGCTGGGAGGAGGTCTCGCCAACTCAGACTTCAGGTGTGGTCACTGATGATCCTTGTGGGACCCACTGGACACATGGGGTCCTGGGGGAGTGCGTCTCCCCCGGCCAGAGTCCGTGAGAACTGGAGTAGAACGGAGCAGTCACCAGATGTCTTGCTTCCTACAGAAAACTGGGCATCTTCATGGAGATTGATCTTATACAGATGTCCAGTCCTGACCCCATCTGCCTCCAGGTGCCCGGAATAGCTCATCGTGAGCCCTTGACACTCGACAGGTGGACGCCGTTTGCCCTGCTGGGGCAGGTGTGTATCCACCTGAGAGCACTTGAGGACAATAGGCCTCTCTTTCCAGGTTGCCCTGTGCTCAAGTCCTCAGGAAGGAGCCCACCCCAGGTGGGATGCAAGGACTCCAGAGACTGAGGAAGGGGTGGGGTCACTGGGTCTGGCCCCCTGTCACCTGGAGGGGGTGGTAGAATAGGGCTCCTCGGGCCGGAGGGTGTCTAGGGGTGTGGCAGGAGTGGTTTGGGTGTTGTCTGGAGCACTCGGGTACAGCAGAGCCATTGGATGACTTGGTCTTGTGGGATGGTGATGGATGAGGTCATGGATACCCCGCATGTGCATGGGTGAGGGGACATTATTGAAAAGTATGAGCAGGTACAGGTGGGGCCGCTCCCTCAAGAGAGGTGGGGCCTCTCCTCCCTCGCTGTGCCTGGTCAAAGGCTCCTGGGATCCCTAAGATCACAGGGCCGGGACAGGCTGTCCACGCCCTCAGGACCGCAAGCGCCTCACCTTGCCCCCCTCTCCCTGGCCCCCTCTGGGTCACAGGGACACGGAGCTGGGTCAACAGTGGACATGGGGCATGAGCATGTTGACATCTGGAAATTCACTGATCGCCTCGGAATTGTGTGGTGAGTCCTCTGACCCCTGACACATCGGTCTCACCTCAGGGACAGGTTTTGTTTTTAGAAAGATTCTCTGAGGCAGGACATGTCTCCCTGGCTCTGGCCAACCTCCTCTCCAGGGTCAGAACTCCTCCCTGCCTCTCCTGCAGGTCCAGCCCGTGGTCAGGGTTAGGGCAGAGCCTTGAGGCCCATCTAGGGAGCTTGGGAGAGCGGGTGGGACAGACAGGGGCTGGGTCTGACCCCTGAGCTCTCAGCACTTAGGTCTCCACATCAGCAGGAGAAGAGGGGGCAGCCTGTGGGTCTGGCCCTGTCCCCTTGGGGGCTGCCCTGATGAGATCTGGGGGTGGTGGCCACAGGCTAGGGGGCCCCTGGCCATGCCTGAGGGCCATTGTGTAGCAGGTCTCCAAGGGCTCAGGGGACCCAGCTGAGGCATACTGTAGGGAGGGGCATGGGGACATCAATGGCTGTGACCGTGGGAGGCTGGGGAAGAAGAAGGGGAGGGCCTGGCCTTGGCATCTCACAATGAGGCTGGGGAGTAACAGAGCATGCAGCTGAAGGCCCCGGGAGTGGTGCTGGGAAGGGATCTGGGCCTGGTAAGGGGAGCCCAGCCTGGAGTCAGCCCCTCAGGACTCACAGGATTGAGAGAGGGAGGAGTCTGGGGAAGAGGGGCGGGGTGAGCCCATGAGACCTGCCACTTCTGGGACGCACCTGAACCAAGCCAGCCCAGGGTGGAGCTGATAGCCTTGGGAGGATGACAGATGGGGTGGGCAGGGAACAGTGGCACACCTGGGACCCCTCAGTGGGGGGACTTGGTCAGTCCCCAAGGCTCTGCGTGGCCCTCCAGAGACTCTGGTTCCCGCTGGCTCAGTCAGCACTGTGCAGGGTAGATGGGGGGGCCGAGTCGGTGCAGATAGGACAGCCAGGCACCCCATGTCCTGGCTGCTGCAGTGGCTGGAAGGAGGCTGAGGGATGAAGGCTGACTGCCCTGAGAGCCAGCTTTGGCTGGAGGCGGGGTGGTGGGGCCATCCCCACTGTTGGCAGGGCTCTTGGTCACCCTTGTCAACCCAGGCTTCTCTCCAGCAGGCTGGGAAGCCCAGTGAGACACCTGGGGGTCTCATGCCTAGGCGCTGACAGGAAGAGGGTCACAGGAAGGCCAGGGTAGCTGGAGAGAGGGTCATGGTCTCTGGGCTGGGCAGGATGGGGGAAGATGGGGAACAGCCAGGGTCAACGGCCAGGCTGCAGGGAGAGACAGGTGCACACTGGGAGGTCAGACCCTGCAAGGCCTGTGGGGAGTGTCAGGTGCGAAGGGCTCCAGGTGCGTCCTCAGGGCACTGGGCAGCTCTCAGGCCAGGCTCTCTGGACATTGGTGGGTGATGGGGTCACTCCCAAGGCACTGCTGTCAGTCAGGGCTTGGCCACCCACCCTAGGCGGCACCCATCCTGTCTCAGGACTGGACTTTCTCAGCTCCCACAGAGGGTGCCGCCTCCAGCCCAGGAGGGGCATTTCCATTGTGCAGCCTGAGGCCTCTCACAGGCCCCGAGTCGTCCCCGCCAGGCCAGCCTCGCACTCCTTCTTTTCCAGGGTTCTCACGGGGACCATGTGCCCAGCTCCGCAGGGAGGCCTTGCCTTCCTTCCCTGTGCCTTCCTCCGGGCTGAGACTTAGGGTGGATCGGAGGGGCTGGGGCCCTCTCAGGGAGGGAGATGGTTCCTGGCCTGGGCATGTCCTCAGCTCTGTCTGAGTTGCCTTACAGTGAGACGAAGCTGGCTCCTGTCAGTGCCCTGGAGGTGAAGATAAGAGCCTGTGCCTGCTGCATGTGAGGCTGCCCCAGGGATAGGGAATCAGGGCTGGTGGGCAAGGCAGAGGGGGCAGCCTATGGGCCAAAGTTGTGGTGACTGGGAGTGACACTGTCACTGGGAGAAATGGCAGTTCCTGCTCCACCTGAACCCAAGATTCTGTCTCCATGGTGGTTCAATCAAAACCCAAACTAAGAACCACAGTCTTGCTCAGAAGTCACTGCCTTCTTGTTCCAGGACCCCAGCTGAAGGATTGGAAACAACCATAACCCAAGCTTTTTGTGGTCTGAAGATGCTGAGTCTTGCTATCAGGAGTCCAGGCAGCTGATGCCCGTTCTATCAGAGGGTCTCAGTCCCCCAGGGTTTGCCCTTTCCTGGCTCCTTCCAGTTCCTGGAGCCCAGGACCCAGCATCCATGGGCTGCTGCCAGAGGCCAGACACTTCCGCTAACTCCATCCTGGCTCATTTGATAGCAAAGAGATCAGGAAATAAAACCACCGACAAGTGGCTGAAGATGCTTGGAGACTGGCCAAAATATAAGAACAGCAAAAAGTAACATGGGGAGGGAGTGGCCCCATGACTGTTCTCTACAGAGCCAGGAGACAGGCGCCCATGGCCGTGACCTGGCACCGTCTGCCTCTCAGCGGGTTGGTGGCACCCTGTCCTCACCCAGAGGACACCAGGCCTGGTTGCCAGCATTTTGCCCATCCATGCAAGCATCGCCTTTCTAGGAGAAAACCTAATACCAGGACCTGGGCCACCCCCTAGCTCAGGGGTAGGGATGTGTCCTGGTGACCCGGAAAAAGGAAAAGGTCCAGGTCAGAGTGCACAACCCTGAGTGCTCCTTCACACTTTCAATTGCCTCTCCCTGGGACCCGAAAAAGGCTGGAGACTTCCAGAACCCTCAGGCTCTGATCCTCCCTGAGTCGCCCCGTGTCCTGTCTCACTAAA